TTCCCTCCGACGATCAGGGCCACGCCTTCAATGTGATCGACGTAGCGCGTCACTTCTGGTGACGTGCTGGCGGCACGCACACACATCGACAGATGGCTCCCGGAGGCTCCCCCGCCGGTAAGAAAAATTGACTTGGCATCCCTACCTCTTTCACCAGATACATAGCCCACAGAGGGTGGTGGTGGTGGAGATATCTACACAAGAAAACTGGGTGGGAGGGACTGAATAGAAGTAAATACAAGCAATTTATGCTCCCCCTGGAGCCTTCTAAAACCAGTAGCTAAGGCGATAGGTAGGGCTTTGGCTCCTGCTCACCTCTGAGTAACTCAAATAGAAAAAATCCTCAGGATGGGCACAATTTAAAACTATTTTATAGCATTCTTCAATATAGGTTGACAAAATATGACATCTATTATACCCTCCAATGATAATATGGCTGCATTCATATGTCACAATAAACCTATTTTTGTTGCTTTTTTTTTTGCAACAGGCACAAATTTAGTTTGCTTTCCTGCTGGCACACTGAGCATGATTGAAAATATTTTGGTTTGTGAATTCCATTGCCTTGAGCACAGGCATTCAGGCAGATTGGAGTCTTTCCTTCCCGTAGACCATTATTCTAAACCAGGACTTAATCCCAGTTCACTACGCTGGCTGTAGATGACCTTCCCTGTCCTTTATAAAATCTTGTAATCCTTATTTATTGTATGTACTAAACTGTTTTCAGTGCAATGCTATCTAATTTTGTAATTCCATTTCTTTGCACTGTCATGTGTATAACGCTGTTCTTATTGCAATGTTTTAAATTGTATAATTGCCCTTGAATCTCAGCAAGGCGGATAATAAATGAAGTAAATAAATAAATCATGTGCACAAAGATTGTTCCTGATCACCTCTGAAGATCTTTAATGGACAGACAAGCTAACTGTTGGTTGCTATCTTCGATGTCTAATAAATACTAAATATTAGCCACAGCACAATCCTTAAATACTCTTTGAACTCTTACAATACAGATTACCAATTAAATGCACAAATGTACAAGTAGATTTCCAAAAGATTTTTAAATACATAAAGTAGAAGGCACACATCTGGCTCAGCCTCACAAACGAAAAGGAAACTCTTTGGTGTTCTTAAAAGTCTCAGTTCAAAGACAAAACTCCCCTCCAGCTTCATTAATTATAAAATCGTTAAAGCTAACTGATTATTCTTAAGGGATGTTCAACATTCGGGAGGCATGGAAACCCTGCAGCCACAGATAAAAGCGCCTCAGAAGTCTGCAGTAGCTTTGTCATCACCCTCCAGGATAAACAAACTTCCTCCTCTTCCTCCAAAACATGCATATTTACAGTCTCAACACACATTAAGCCCACTCAAGAGACATTAGGATATTGCTCACGAGTTACGCATATACCCCCAACTTTTTACTTATCAAGAACTATCAGGCACCCTCTAGTAGTTTCTGTACCCCTGAATATGCAGGGAAGGACCAGGAATGTCAGCCTCCTTGTGCAATTGGCTCATCTCAAATTACGCATTCATTTTGGGACTGACAGATTGGTCTGCCAAAGTTCAGAACTGTCTCAGGTTCTTGGCACCTGTGTGATTCCAGCTCTCTTTCCAAGAACAAATCAATGTTTCCCTAGAATTAACCAACGAAAGTACCTTTGCTGTAGGAAAATATATTAAGCGGCACAAGGCATGGGAGGAAATTCTGATAGTTCATAGCCTTTATGGGTCAGAGATTACCCCAAATATGTATGAGGATTAAAAAAAAAAAAAAAGAATACTCAGAATGTTTAAAGTTTAGATTTTGGTGGCTCATCCTTGGATGCACTTTAGCTGGCTCAAACTAGGTTAGGGTTTTCACAATGTAAGAATCTTTTCAAGATTAATTAGCAGGAGGAACAATTAGGCACTACCACCTGACCTATGAAACCCCAAAGAAAGCTATGTGAAACTACACTGTTGCATGTATCACCTTTTCTTTAGATTTAATTGGAGCAGAAAATTTAAGGCTGTGTTCACACACACACTTATTTTTATGCCTGGAATATATTCACTCACACATTTGAAGCTTACACTTCAATCTACTTCAAGTCAAGTCTCTCTTCCCCCAACCCCACAATAATATCCTTCGTATTTTTCCTTGCCCCCATCCACTGCAGATGACAGCAGTGGTCATTGCACAGTGTGAGTGTACCCACTGGAATCAAATGGGTTTTACAAATGACACTGCAGGACCTTTGCAAACAAAGCTATACAATTAGGTATCAAATGGAGCCCCTCTTGGTGGGAAGTTGTATAGCTACAGCATTAAAGCTATATTGGCTGCTGCCAGCCCTGTAGCTAGGGAATTTTGGGAGAGGGGGCCTTGGGGGGCCTGTCAGTTAATTAAATGCAAGTACAGTGCAGTTGGTAAGTTGGAGCACTTTGGGGGCAGCCCAGGAGGGAGGGGGCCCAAAAGAAACACTAGGGGGCCGGGCCCTGTGGGCCCCATGTTAGCTACCAGGCTGCTGCTCCAGCCAATGCAATTGTCTTATGCAATGTGCAGGAAATTAAGTGATGCAAATGACAGAGTACATTTCCTGCCATTCAGCCCCACTGGTATAGCCTTGCAGAGTTTGCAGCCCAAGGTTGGTGGGGCTACAGTGGGAACAATACAGATCAATAATAAAACTCATTCTATCTGGCTATAGTGTACAATTTGAGTGGAGCTGCCACCCTGGCAGCTAGGCTGCCCCTTTCCCACCCCCACCTTTCTAGCCCTAAAGTGGAAACAAGTTTGACTTGCAAGTCACAAGTGTTATTTTTCTCAGATTTAGGAAGGAAAGGCATGGGCCTCTTCTGTATTTCTCATTTATCACCAATCTCCATTTTCCACTCAATTTTTTAACATTGAACCTAACTAAATAAATGACAAATAACCACATTGTCTTAATAAATTTTATTTGAAATTGCATTGGGAAGGATCCAGAAGTACTTGCATGTTCGGAAAACTCCATTCCGATGGAATTCATTTCCATGTGCAAGAAAAGATGCAGAGCTCCTTGAAAATATTCAGCCATCTGGAGAGTAAATCTACAGTGATAACTGCTAGAGACAAGGGGCACATGTTTCCTGTGTTCCGAGCTACTTTACAGGAATAAAGGGCTCATGCACAAAGAGGACAGAGCACATTCATTTCATTGGGACAGAACAACCAGTTTTCAACCACAGGAAATGCTTTTTGTGCATTTTGACAGGCATTATTTACCATCCTACAGAACTGAGTAAATCAGAACGTGTTATTGTTTTGGCATGTCTTCATGTTGGGTGTGATTCTATGTCATCCATCAGTGTCAAACTACTGTATGTGCAAGTGCTGGAAAAGAGTGGTGTAAAGCCGTAAAAAGAAACTCAGCAAGCATAGCCATGTTGGTCAGTCTGTAGAAGCAGAAAAGAGTAAGAGTCCAGTAGCACCTTAAAGACTAACAAAATTTGTGGTAGAGTATGAGCTTTGGTGAGTCATTGCTCACTTCTTCAGATACAGCCAGGGCAGTTTTTGTAGAAAAAGCCCAGCAGGAACTCATTAGCATACTAGGCCACACCCAACATCAGATTCTTATTAGCATATTAGGCCACACCCGACAGCACAGCTCCCTCCCAGGATCGGCTTCCCCAGGTGCCCCACAGCTTGCGGGGCACATGGGGAACCCAAGGGAAGGAAGGCAGTTTCTGGGATCGGCTTGGCTTCCCCAGGATCAGCTTGGCTGGATCCTCCCTGGATCGGCTTGGCTTCCCCAGGCGCCCAGCAGCTTGCGAGGCACCTGGGGAACCCGAGGGAGGACAGGCTGTAGGCGTGGCCAACTCGGAAGCCAGCCGGAACACTGTTCCTGTGTGTTCCTGCCCAAAAATAGCCCTGGATACAGCTATCTGAAGAACTGAGCAATGGCTCACCAAAGCTCATACCCACCACACATTTTGTTAGTCTTTAAGGTGCTACTGGACTCTTACTCTTTTCAGCAAGCATAGCATGTTAACAAGCTGGGAAGACAACTACTCTTGCAGGCAAAATGCATATACGGATACAGAGCAAGAATTCCCCAAATGGTGATCTGATTAAAGAGTTGCTAGTAAAGCCCAGCACCACTTTTCTCAGGTTTGGAAGCTAAACCTTATAAAATGAGAGCTGGTGTGATACAGTGGTCGGAGCATCAGACTAGGATCTGGGACACCCAAGTTCAAATCTCCACTCAGCCATAAAAGTTTGTTGGGTGACCTTGGCCCAGTCACCCTCTCAGCCTAACCTACCTCACAGGGTTTTTCTTGTGAGGATAAAATGTAGAAGGGAGAATGATACTGTAAGCTTTTTTTGGGTCCGCAGTAGGGCACAAAAGCAGGGTATAACTATCTAAAATGTATAAAAAGGAAAATAAATCTTCTCTGCCACATCCATGGGCTTCTCTGACTTGCAGAAATAAAGGCAGGCTAAATAACAGATCAAAAGAAAATTTTGAATAGAAAAAGTTAAAGAGATTTAGAGCTCAGCTGAACACTTTGTTTCAAGGATTTGGAAGGGGAAAAGCCTGAATGTCTCTTCATATTTTGAAATTTTACTGGAAATGAAATTTTAAGTTTGATAATTCAGAGGTTCAAAATCTTATTAGAAATTCAGCTAAGATTACCCAAAGAGCAACTGGCAGACGGGATGAGTTGGAGGTAGGAAAGGATAATTGGTTTTCTCAAGGACAAGCGCCATTCCTTGCTGGAACTAAACCTCCTCTTAAAAGTCGTCTGGCACACTGACCAAGCTCCTAAATTTGCTCTCATGGCTGTGAACAGCTGCTTTGCACTCCATAAGGCAGCTGTTGTATAAGTAAAATTGCTCTCATTTATCGGTGTTTACTGCTTACCTTCTGAACCAACTTACCTCATACAGTAGAACACCTTCCCTTTTTAAAGAACATTCCAGCAGAAACAGCTGATCATTAATTCAGTATTTGGTATGCAAGTGAGGACAACAGCAACGAGACACAGGAAATGTTTTTTACCAACACCATAGGAGAACAAGAACCAAAACTGCAGGTCTTTTACATGGTTACTCAGTTTCATAACATGTAGCAAACGCTCATGAAAACAGATTGTTACCTGATACTCTAAGCAGCCATTGTGATGGTCTTTATTTATATAACAATAAAATGAGAAACACCCTAATATTTCTTCACATATATACATAAAATTATGTTAAGTTCTTTCCACAGTCTGCTATACAACTCCCTCCTTCAGGAAGCCATATATTGTTTTTGTATCACTGTATGCTCCAGGGCAACACAAACCAATATGGCAGGTAGAATGTTTTTTGCAATAGTTCAGGTACTGTGATCAGACAAGGAGTTTTGCTTCAGATAAAACTCATTTTCTAGGTTTTAACACAGCTGAACAGCCCAATAACAGCTGCATGGACCACAGACACCTCTATTCACTGCTGGACGTGTCTCACATTAAGCCGGCTCTCACCAGTCCATTGTCACTGCTGCTGTGTGTACTGTTGCACTGTCTTTTCACTCTCCCTTTTCAACTCCTCAATATGCACATCTAAACATTCCAAGATATACTGAGATCGTACTTCCTCTTCTTCCAGGAACTTCGTAGCAATCACACCAATGTTTGCAGTAGGCAGAGGGCTCTAAAAAGAAAATGCAAGTGTTGAACTTTGGGACAGGAGGAGTCTTTGGACCTACATGCTACGTTTTGTCATGAAACTGTGATGGAGAAAACACTGCACTACAAACATTAGTTTACAATGTATTGATGGAAATCCACAAGCTTCATCCCTTCGTCTTAAATACAAATGAAATCCTCATTACCAAGGTAACCAGAAATGCAGCTGTACTGATTAAAACGCTCTCAAGTCATTTTAAGAACAACATCCACATCTTGTAAATGACTTTAAGCACATTTCAAATTTGTTTTTCATAGAGCTGTTGCCTTTAAAGTGGTGAAGAATCTGAAATTTCCTAAGGGACACAAAGTCCTCAGTTTTCACTAATTAAATCTGGACTGGTCTAACACATTTTATTTTTTTCTGAAGTAAACCAGCACTCTTGCTTTATTTGACACTATCTAGCTTCATACAAATTATGACCTGGAGATAGATGACATGTCCAAAGATGATCACTCTGTAAATGTTTCATCAGGCTACCAATCCACAAATAACTACAGTAATTCAAATGAAGTTGGGGAAAGTATAAGCCAGAGGTGCTACAAAGACTAACAATGTTGATTCCTACAATAGCTTTCATGAGTCAGAGTCCATTTCATTAGATGCATGAGGGGTACATCCTTTAGCCCAGTTTATATATACAACAGAAAGATAGAAGGGGGGGGGATGAATGTTACAAAGAAAGTCCAGCTTATAACACAATCCAACCCAAAGTGAATGGATTTCTGTAGCTAAGTCTTCCAGTAACAGAGTGACCAACCTCCTCAAACACCTAAAATCATACTTCACCTTCTTTACAGTCAGGAAACAAATCTTGGAATTACAGTTATATTAGTTTTCAGTTTGGTTTTAAGATGTCAGTGTTGCAAAGGGTTTCAAGCCCTAATGAACTAAAAGGGACTTACTTCTGAGTAAACATTCTCAGGACTGGGATACAGGTTCTTCACACTGCCCCCATCATTTAAAAGCCTACCTCAGCAGCCATATAGTTTAGGAAGTACACTTGTTAAAGTTCAAGTTCGAAAACTTCAAGACCTTATGAAAAGTTCGTGTAACCTGATGTACTTTGCACAGGTTGTGTAAGGGACATTTGGTGCCCAACACTGTCTCTTCAGGTCCACACCAAGCATGATTCAAACTGCGAGTGCTTCAAGTTCTAAGTAGGTTGGGATCAGGGTACTTTAAGGATTACATTCCTTCCACAAGAATGAATCTACCGACACTGTTACTGTAGGTTCTGCTAAAGGTAAAAGTTCCCTTGCTCAAAAACATGTAGTTCTGCTACATGAGCTCTAATTCTCAGTTGTGAGGTAGGTGTGCACAAGATACAAGGTCATTTGGTATTGGCACCTTGCCTACGGAATGCCCTTCCTACTGCTACTTTCCAGGTATCCACTGTTTGAGCGTTAAGTGCTAGGTAAATATGTGTTTATTCTCCCTAGGCATTTGGCAATCAGAAAGGCTTTTTGGTGGCTATTTCTGAACTGTTTATTCTCTCCATACTTTACTGCTAGACGCTTAAAGATTATAGTATTCTTATGTTCTTACTGTTTAAATTGTTGTTAATCATGCTTTTTAACTACATTGTAAACTGCCCCTAGAACCACCAGGAGGCAGGGGAGGGGGCATTTCCCCTCCTTTGTTTCCTCCCCTCTCCCCCTTCCTCTCTGCCTCTCACTCTTTCTCCATCCAGTTATCCCATCTCTAACTTTCTCCCTCTGTTTGCCCCCCTACACAATCACTCTCTTTCCATCCCCTACTCCAATCACTCTCTTTTTCTCTTTCTTCCCCCCATACCTGATCACTCTCTCTTTTTCTGTGTTCGCCTCCCCCGCCAAGGCTTCCCCGCATAGCTCCCATGGAGCTCCTCTGGGCAAGCCAGCAATTCCCCCCACGCTCTATGCAGCTCACCCGAAGCAGCTCTGGGCAAGCTAGCAGAGACTTCCCTCCCCCCACACACCACTCTCTGCAACTCACCCAGAGCAAAGTCTTCCCTCCCTATGCCCCGCCACTCTTTGTGACTTGCCCAGGGCAGTTCCCAGCGAGCTGGCAGAGTCTCGCCACGCATCCCCCGCAGCTCGCCCAGAGCATCTCCTGCTGGCACTCTTCCCTCCCCCCGCTACTTTCTACAGCTTTCCCAGAGCAGCTCTGGGAGAGCTGGCAATCTTCCCCCCCCAACACACACACATACACACAGCTCTCTCAGGCCAACAGATTCTTCCGTTGCAGGCTGCCAGACCCAGGGTGGCTCCCAGCTGCTGCACCTCTATCGCTGGGAAATTATTCTTCAGGGGGGGGGGAATTTAAATTCCCCATCATTTCTTTTTAAATAGTCAGATTTTTCTACAAACATAGGGGGTCCCCTGAGTTTGCAGAAACATCTTAACATCTGCATGGCCCCAATTCGGAGATTTAAGTATCTGCAGAGGGGGCCACAGGTAAATAATAGTATATAGATTTTAGATAGCATTTATTGTATATGGCCAAAGGCTATTACAGTCAATGACATAGAGCAGCATTTCCCAGCCTATGGAAGTGGGTCACAGACTTCTGTAGGCTTATGGCAGTTTCCCCCCTCCTTGCCTGTTGCCTAGCCAAACTCATACTGAATCTCTAAAGTGGAGAAGGTGGGGCACAGCCAGCCGGCCAGTCATCTGTCTTTAGCAAGTGAGGCTGCAGCTGTGTGCCAGGATGCTTCCTTGCCCAACTCGGCGGCAGCTAGCTCCATTTCCTCCTCCTTTTCTTTCTCAGTAGGTAGTTAAGGTGAACTTCGGGGTGAGCACAAAACACATTAAGCAGCCGTTTCTGCTGCAACAAAACTACTTGCTACCTCCCCCCTTTATTTGCCAACTGATAGGAAAACGAAATTTCCCTTGGACTGCAAGAAGATCAAATCAGTCAATCCTAAAAGAAATCAACCCTGACTGTTTCCTGGAAGGCCAGATAATGAAACTGAAGCTCAAATACTTTGGCCACCAAATGAGAAGGGAGCACTCACTGGAGAAGACCCTGATGCTGGGAAAAATTGAAGGTCAAAGAAGACGGGGACGGCAAAGGATGAGATGGTTAGACAGTGTCATAGATGCAACGAACATGAAATTGAGCAAACTTCAGAGGACGGCGGAAGACAGGAGGGCCTGGCGTGATCTGGTCCATGGGGTCGCGAAGAGTCAGACTCGACTGTATGACTGAACAACAAAGGAAAAAGAAGACAGGGACAGTGGCTGACACTGCAATGGGGGAGGGAGGGAACGGCCAATAGTGAGCTGCGTGAGGATATACTGAAACAAATAACGGGAATGCCCTTTGGTAACAATGGGTGAGGTTTGAAAGCCCATCAGATATAATGGGAGCCAGGAATACCAATTAATTTGCATGGGCTCTGTTACAATACATTACAGCACACAAAAGTTCCAACAGAAATGCAGAACAGTTTTCAAGAAACCAACAACAGGCCTGGAATGACAGCCCCCAAAGTAGAATTATGGTCCCCGGCCCCAGACAGACTGCTCTGGGCCTAAAATGAAAGTCCCCAGAGTGGAATGATGGTCCTGAGAGTAAAATAAAAGTGTTCCAGGATGGTAATGACAGCTCTCAGAGTGGAATGATGGTCCCTGGGAATAGCATAAGTGTTCTAGGACTAGAATGGCAACCCCCAGAGTGGAATGATGAACCCTGAGATAGCAGAACTGTTTTCGGACTGGAATGACAGAACACTTCTGCTATGCCTAGGAGCAGTCAGTCCACTCTGGGTGTGGTCATTCCAGTCCCAGAACACTTATGCTACTCCCAGGGGCCATCATTCCATTCTGGGGAGCTGTCATTCCACTACTAGAGTACTGATTCCAGTCCCCAAGGGTTGTAATTCCACTCGGGGCTGTCATCCTATGCCAAGAGCAGTTTATCTGATTCCAGGGGCCATCATTCAACTCTGGGGACTGCCATTACAGACCCAGGGCAGGTCTCTCAATCCATTCCACATTTTTGTTGCAACTTTTGTTTGCTGTAATGTATTTCAATAGAGCCCAAGCAAGTCAATTGGCATTCCTAGCTCCCATATCCACAATGTGACACGGAAACTGCTTTGCCAGAGCCTTCTGAACAGCTTTGGGCTTTGGACATGATTCTAACATTCCATCTCATTTTTTAAAAATAAGTAAATCTGCTCTTTTGATTCATGAGCTACTGACTAGCAACATCTGCTTTTTCACTGGGTGAGGTTTGCACTTGGTGTAGTAGCACCGATGGGGGAACAGAATGATCTTCTTGTACCTTCCTCTCACATTTTTTATTATTATTATTATTTTCAATCCAAGAAGGGTCTCTCTGATGTGTTCCCCAAGCCTGAATCTCACAAGCTTAAAATCCCAGCTTCATTCCCTCCCTCACACTAGCCACTGACAGAAACAGAATGTGTCTGGGACTCTGGACAGGATATACTGGTTGGAGCAGATGATCAGAAGAAAACAGAAGGTGGTTAATTTTAAGAAACAGATGTGTTTCCCAAAAGAAGAATGTCAGAGGACCCAGGACGAGGCGACTCACCAGGAAGGAGAGGACGTCCATAAATAGAGCCCAAAGATACAAAAACCAAGGAGACCGGGAGAGCAAGGGAATCCCGGAGGGAACCCCGGAAGACCTACCCCGATGGCGGCAACACAGTTACAACAGAAGAGCCGGCCCTGACAGGAGGGAAGCTCGAAGGGCAGGCAGGGGAGAATTGTGTCTTTAAGCAGGAGGGAGAAACGGCTGATGAGAATAAAGAAGGAACCTGATCTCATCCAAGGAGGAAGGATTAGAACAAAACAAAGACTGGATCAGCTGTGCTGGAACACTGACCAGGAGTTTTCGGGCTAATGAGGAGGTCACTCCTAGATAGGGAGAGATTCCCTGGATCTGAGGTTTGAGAAACAGCCTTCAGCTTCTATTGCCGGTCTCCCCGCCGCTCATGACACCACCCGAGATGAAATACGCAGAGAAATCGTGACAAAGAAATGTTCCACTGAAGTTAAAAAAAATATCAATGGAAAGGGAGAGATTCTTCAATCCTAAAACAGTATTATAAGAGAGGAGCTTCAGGTTTAGAATCTGAAGCTTTGAACTAATTAGGGAACAACCCAAGTAAACCCCAACCTCTTTTCCATGCTTTGCTTTCTCAATCACTATTTTAGAGAAGAAATGAATGGGATGGCAGGGGTTGGGACTTGGCTCTGTATGCCCAGATGAGGAACTGCCCCCCTCCCTACTTTTGTAGGTCTCCTCTGAAACTCCTCTGAAACTCAATTTACAAGGCAATCCTATGCCCGTTTACCTGGGGGTAAGCCCTGCTAAATATAATTACTTTTTTTCTGAGCAGATTCAAGTGGGTAACTGTGTTGGTCTGAAGCAGCAGAACAAAGTTTGAGTCTGCTTCTTAAAGGTGCCACTGCCTCAGTTTAATTTCAGAGCATCCATTTCCATTATGTTTTTGTGAGCAATTCACTGCCACCTGAATTCCTGGTAGGCTTCACTTGAAAGACTTTTTTGTGTCTTTTCAAACAGGTAATCTGAGAGACAAATAAATCCCAGCACCCTCACTTTGGTGTCACATAGTGCATTCATAATTTTTTATTCTTACTACTTACCAAAGACAGAAGTTCCCTTTCATGACTGATGTCACACTTTTCCAGCATATCATCAGTAAGTTTCTTATTTCCAAGTTGCAATGAATCTGACCCCAGGTGATGGTCGTAGGACAAGGCTTCAGTTGATGTGCCCCTACTGACCTTAGGGGATAATGCAGCTGGGACCCTTCTAGATGATGAACACTCCACTTTCTGGATTTCTTCTTCATAGCGCTGAACAGTTGAGTCAAACTTAACCCGAAGGGCTCTCATTTCTTCTTCATGCTTGCACTGAAGCTTCTCCACTCTCCTAGACATAAATTGGCAATAATAATTTAATTTTTTAAAATTTATTTATTTATTGGATTTTTACCCCACCCTCTCAGCCAAGGCCGGCTCAGGGTGGCTTACATAAAATCAGTACATCATTTACAATAAAACATAAGTCAATTTAGGTTAAAACAATTCTAAAATCATTAGGCTATACAACTCAATAAAGTGCTAGTAGCATTAATTCCCAATGGCTATAATTACTCAGTTCACACTTCTCATAGTTGGTTCTTCGATCTTCTTTTAATTGTCCTTCTGGTGACTCAAGCTGTTATTAAGAATTCCGGAGAAACAAAGGGCTCTCTCACCTTCAGCTATCAGTTGTTAATTGTTAACGGTAGTGGTTAACTGTGGTGGTTAACGGTGGTGGTGGCTCCAAAAGCCTGGCGGAAGAGCTCCATTTTACAGGCCCTGAGGAACTGCACAAGGTCCCGCAGGGCCCTAATCTCCTCTGAGAGCTCATTCCACCAGAGTGGAGCCACCACCGAGAAAGCCCTGGCCAGCTCCTTTTACCTTCAAATGTTACAGAAAAATGCTTACGGTTCCTATGGAACAGCTCCTTTTACCTTCAAATGTTACACAAAAAAGCTTAGGGTTCCTAAGAAAAAATTTCCACTGCTTCAGGTAAAAATCCCTGAAGCAGAGAAAACATGTAGCGAATTCAAAGTGTAACAGTACAGTGAGTCTTAGTGATACTCAATGTATAGATCAATACTAGAACTGTGTTTTCCATATCAGTGATCCATCAGAAGACCTGCAAGGGATGGGAGGGAAGACAGACAGATGGACCCCAACTGGTTGAATTCATACATCTTTTTTCAGTGTTTCTCCAAACCTGCTTTGATAGCAGTGGCAATAAACAAAAGCATAAACAAGAGCTCTCCCACAATCAAACAGCCATTGTGAGAAAGGTTGGAGGTTCTAAAAAGGCATTTCAGAATGGCTTCAGCTTTTACTACTGGCTAAAAACAGCAGTATTTCAAACTTCCTAAGGCTGTGTAGATTTACCTGGCCTCTGTATTCTTGATCTCAGTCACTTGTTGCTGCAAATGTTGCAAAATACTCTCATATTTCTCCTGGGAGACCTGAGAGGAAGCTTCCAGTTTGGCTCGAGTTTCTGCTAGTTCCTTTTGCAGTTGCTGGTTCTCAGCCTCCACTCTATTTAGGGCCTTGGCATGACTTTCCTGGAGTTCTGTCACAGCTGTGATTTTCACCTTACAAAGACAAAAATAATTCACTGAGTGGTGCCTGGTTTTGTTCACAAGCCTAGGTCTCCCTAAAGTTAGCAATGCGATTTTAAGAAGTAAAAATTCCAAGCCTTCTACTGGGGGAAAAATCCCTTTAGAGTGAAATCAATCACAGGTTGTCTGACCCAGTCTATATCTAGACAGACTGAACTAATCAAACCTACAGAGGTACCAGCTTCCCTCATTCGTCTCAATTGGGTGTGAACTTCAAGACCAATTTGTGATCACTTAAACGTCAGTCACATTAAATGTGTTCCAGCTGTACAGCTCACCATTTTACACCCAAAGCCAATGGGACTGCCTGCTTGGAGCTGGGTGTACTCTGAACCTCCTGACATTCCATTCGTTTCAAACTGCTATGTGATTAGTGTATTTGCTGGCTGGAAAGAAAAGCTTAAATAACCAGCTGGGACTTACTCCTCTAGAGCAATGAGTCCAAGATCCTATTACAGACAAAACCAACCACACTTGCAAACACAAATCAGAACATAAGGATACCAGCTCCACAGCCCGGAGTAAAAAAAAAATTCAATTTTTAGAATGCCACTTCCAATTTTTCATCTCAGGATTTAACAACTAAATTAGTAAAATTATGTAATTTATTTAACACACAAAGCATGATAAAGAACTTGCAACAGCTTCAACACTTCTGGACACACTAAAATCTCATCCTAATTTTTCAGGTGACATTTTCCTTCTTTATTTAAAGTGGAAATATAGAACCTCATAGTTTTTCTTGTTTTGTTGTGTCCCCCCCCCCAAGCCAAATAGATCAAGATACTGATAAATTCATGCGGTGAAATAACACCTCACCCCACAAAGAGTAGCTTGTCTAAAAATGTATAATGTTGGATACAGCATACTAAATTTCCAGTCTCCTAGCATGTCAAGGGCTAGTTTAATATAGCCTTTCCCTGCTAGACATATTCAAATAGTTGCTCATCCATGAAGTTCACTGGGTGACCTTGGGCCAGTCACACATACTTAGTCCTTATAGGGTTGTTCGTAGAATGAAATGGAGAATCTCTGATGTAGAAACTGAAGGTGGGGGGCATTTTTGCAAGCCAAGAGCCAGTGCAATGTACAGAGTGCCCAACAATACCAGTGCAATCACAGACTGCCCAGGAGAACCTGGTGCCAGTGTAGCAATGCCAGCACAACAGGACACACAATCACATTCCAAACAAGGGGGGGGGGTTGCAAGCCCAGCAGAACCAGTGTAATGTACTAGTGCCCAGCAGAACCCAGTGCCAATATGCCAATGCCAGTTCCATCACAATCCAAACAAGGAGGGGCATTTTTGCAAGTCCAGCAGAACCAGTATAATGTACAAGGTGCATAGCAGTACCAGTGCAATCATAGAGTGCCCAGCAGAACCCAGTGCCACTGGGATTGCAAACTTAAAAGAACTGATTTCAAAATACAGAGCCACAAATCCAAGCAGGGTGGGTGGGATTTTGCTAGGTCTGCGCAAGAAAGGGGTAAGTAAACACAAAAAAACTTGGGCAAAGGGAGGGGAGGAAACCCTCTTGAAACTGACATGACTAGTTTGAAACTGACAACAATGTTTCCAAGACTGGAGAATTCTGCCCCGCCTTTGAAGTTTGGTAAACATTTTCTTTGAGCCCCCAGAGTCTGTCTGGAAATGTATCCATTTAGGAACCAGCAGGAACCTCCAGGAACTGTCTGAAAAGTTCATTGAAAGTTGACCTGCCATGAAAGTTGACCTGCCATGAACTTTAGTTCATGAACCACAAACCAGGAAAAATTCATCATGAACTTTAGTTCCTGAGCTGGTTGGTGCCCATCCCTACACACCACATTGAGCTGCTCTCCCACTGCATTTAAAATAAAATTGACAAAGGCTCTTTTAGCCACTGGAAGACATTTTCATTTTGGATATATTGGGTGAGCATTTAATGTTAGTAATTTGGAGGACTACAGTCCCAAGTCTAGGGCCTTAAAATGAAATTGGTCAAGGCTTTTACCCATGGAGATGTGCACCTCCATGAAATTAAAAAAAAAAAAAGGACAGGAAAGAGTCCTGAATCTGGACACCAAGGAAAGAAGAAAAGGAGGAGGGAAGATGCCACTGACTGATGAATGACATCTAATGTGCAGGAGACATCCCATGATGATTCAGGGCAAAGCATGCCTGATCAGCAGCTTCCTAGGTAGCTTCCTTGCCAGATACTGCTCTTTCTCACAAGACTACTCATTTTGAATGACAAACAAAAGTCCTCCTGGGACCTTCATAAAACAAGCTAGAAGTGGGCATTTCTGAAACACTGATCACATTTTTGTGACATTCTCAGTATCCATGGGCTTCTCCAGAGATCATCCAAGGAGAAAAGTAATTTCCTATAGGCAAACCTGATTCTGTGACTAATATGGAACAAGTCTAACCTGCTACAGCTATATAGATGAAACAAGTCCTACGATTCCAGCAACATATGACCATGCACAACAGCATGCACAACAGCATCGTTATTATTGAGAAGAGACTACAAGTGATGTAAATGAGGCACTGTGATCATACATCTATGACCAGTGGCAATATGGATGGTTTCAAATAAGTTACTATACATCTATGGTTCAACCAAAACGGCATGTGGACAGCCTGTAAATGCCACCTTTTACAGCTATTTTCTGCTACAGATTTCTTCACAAATCTTCACTTAAGGCTACTTACACTGACCCCTAGTGGTCATAACATATAAAATACATGTACCAGGAGTTCCATGTCTTTTTATCTCAATCCTTAACATGTTTACTCAGAAGTCAGTCCCACTGATTTCCCTTAAGCTCCACTGAGTCCTTGTACACTCTCTGTGCCTATGTCTCCCAACGTCAGGAGAAAAATATCAGATCACCTTCCTGCTTTGTGTAAATATATGAAAGATGTTCTTCTCTGCACAACAAACACGATAGCTAAGTGCTATCCAGAGGCGACAAGTATACTTCACTGGAAATGTCACATCTCCATCACTTCATACTTTACCTTCTGCAGCATTTCTGAGAGATGGTGATTTTCTTGTCTGAGAGCTTCCAGCTGAGACAGGACAGCCTTCAGAAAGAGATTTTTTTTAACTTAGTACTTGATTTTTCCAATTGTCAGTACATGCCACCCACCAAGATAATTAACTGTTGTTCAACCCATCAACTTATTAGAATGCATAAATCCCAACTCCCATCTTCGGAAAATTTTTAGTCCTTTGTAAATTTACATGTTCAAGTTTAGCCAACCGCACCAAAGGGTCAGAAACAAGCGTGCATCCAGGGTTTCTGTCATCATAAATCAGAATATTGGTAAGCAGACAAGCCATTGTACCCTGTGCTCCACTGCCTTTCGCTCTGCTTTTTCAATCTCCAGTCGTAGCTGCTGATCCAAGTTCAAGGAAGAACCATTAGCTGAGGCAATCGTGATGTCGCGCTGATGTAACTCCCATGTTAGCTGGGAGACCTCCTGCTTCATTCCTTCCAACTCACCACTGTGACTTTGCTCCATGTGGGACAACTGCTCCTTTAACTAGACAAGAATGCATACGAATTTTCAATGATGCATTGCAGAGATGATCAACAATGGATTTGGGATACTGCAGCATGAGCCAACATAAAGTTTGCTGGAAGCACACCATCCCTAAATCCACTCACTGTTTGTTTTGAACCCTCAACTGTAGCCTTATTATGCAATGTAATAGCTCTGTCTCCCTTTTCTATACACAATCACCTCCTATGTTCTGAAGAAGACGTACTCAGCCAAATCAGGGATTCATTCATGGTAAACTGTCAAATTATCCACAAATAGATCAGTAAACTGTGTCATTCATGTTCTGGTATTGTAATAGTCACTGCCTCACCCCCACCCTGCACCTACGAGGCTTCCACTGGACGCACTGCCAGTAAAAGTTGTGGTGTGACAAAGTAGAGTCCATCTGTAGAAAATACTTGGATCTACGATTTGTAGCACCAGCACTAGTGTAAGAAGAACAAAACAGGAGAGCCTCCTACATGCAATGCAATCATGGTGCAGAATGTATCAACTGACATCCTATACCTTGTTCACACGTCATCATCTTCTAGTATCCAACAGCGCCTATATTTGACTCCAACAGTCTACATTTGACTTTCACACATTCCAGTAATGCTCGAACCTATTTTAATGCACCACCACTACAAGGCCCTTACCTTATTAATCT